GAAATGATGGCATAAAATTATGAAATTATGGCACATGTTGCATAAAAATAACACCATTTTTAAGCTAATAATAAGTTAAATTATATACAAAACTCTACAATTTCCATGCACCCACTCTTTGATATTTTTGCCCCTGTTTACACTTAATTATGCTGTTTTTCTCTTAACATATATGTTATCAACTTTACTTTAAATCTCCAACTTTTCTATAACAGTTAAAAGAGTTTTACCAGCCACTGTTACAGTATTTTGTATTTTCCCCCACAAATACCTCACCCATTCGATCCGTCATAAAACCTATGATGATAACAATCTTTATTCTGCAACCAAAGCCCTGGTGTTGTCATGAGCTTGACAAAAGAAGACCTTCAAAGTCTCTCCGGTTTTCATGAAAAAAAAGCTCAACTTCTCAATTCAGAAATCAGAGTGTTCAAGTTCCAGTCAATCCAATTAAGGTCTCAAAGTTAATGGTTTTACTTTCTACCATCCATATGCTTCCACCTTTCATCTCCCATCTAACCAACCGTTAGGTCTTATTGAGTTGGTTCTAGAAAAAGAGGAGGAGAAGGGAACGGGAAGCTCTTCACTGACTCATACTGTTGGTGGTGAGGCCGGGTCCTCTGGTCTTACAGGTGCTGCTCTCAATGCACCCTTTAGAGAGTGCTGCAGGAAGCCCGCATTACCGACACGTCACAATTTTTTGTATGGTTCAGTTGCAGGTGAGCGTGGGACTAGGCGGTCGGGATGGGAAGGTAAACCCCACTATGAGAATGCACTAATAAAAACATAATAAAAAGGACATTTCACTGCTAAAGCAGTAACACCCAACTGGGGAGATTTTACTCCCTACTTCACTTCCTCAGACGGACATTAGTGTGGAGATGCTTTCTATGTAACCCTGGGTCTCTGGCCTGTGGTCAGGTACTGTGGGATTTTGACCTGCTCAGAGTCTCACCATGCAGGGTCTAGCCCCAGGCCACTATGCAATGATTGGGGACCAAGTCCCTTTTCTTCCCCCACGTGGACAATCATTCCACCTGGTTTGCTGACTGGGAAAGGTTTGGCTGACAATAACCAGTGCAGCACAGGGCTGGGGGCAATACCCACACAGCTGGTATGGCGTCGTTGCCCACGACCACCACAACAAGCCAGAGTGAGGCTAGATGGAATAGGATTATGCTCAATTGCTGCTATGGGTCTCCATCTGGCACTGGGTGGGTCCTCAGGCTCTGTCCATGGGTATAGGCCTGGGGACAGTGGCTATTGGATTTTTCCAGTGGTAGTTTTAACAGCCCAGCAGTGAATTCCAAGGTAATGTCCTGTGTTCACTTTCAACCCTACCTACTACCTTGCAGAGTCTGGCTTCTGTGTCTCACCCAAGATTGGGGAAGGAGTGTGGAAGTACTCCCTGGGTCTCCCTGGCTGACACTAGGCTGGGCCAAACCTGAGTCTCATGGCCAGAGGGATCTGTGAATTAGGGTGCATCCCAGACCTAGGACATGGTGGGTGGTATTGTAGGTCAAAGTACAAGTCGGTCCCTCAGGGGCACAGTTCTCCACTTGGTGCTGGTTCCAGTATGGAAGGTCTGTCTATAACGGCTGCCTAGATCTGTCTATAGGGGCCTGCCGCCATATCTGTTCCAGTCTTCCCACGCCATGTGGTCATCTCTCGGGTAGCACCGTCTGTGTGAACTGGGAGAGGTCTCTGTACTAATGCACAGAGGCCCGAAGTCCCAGGCCAAATGCCCAGTTCTATCACAATTGAAACACCACCCATGAGAATGGCGTCTTTGAGACCGAGGCTGGAGTACCTGTTTAGAGCGGCGAGTATAAACCTTGTAATTGTGTAGGACCAACATCCGCACAAAGGCAATAAACTCAGAAACTGTCCCCTTTTTCCAATGGGGTCAAAGGATCTCCAACAAACTTTATCGGTGTTCTCCAATGCTAGCTGCTTGACTAGGAACTCTGAGGCATTTGAGTCTCCAATTGATCTGTTCACTCGCTGCCGGTACAGATGTTCCATGCAATTGGAAAATGACCCCTGTGGGAGGCCAACGGGCCCTGGCTGGGTGCTGGGGCACTCAGGCACAGAAATATGGCAGAGCTTTCCCCACCCTTCTTGGGTGCTAGAGTCGGTGTCTCATGCATGGGTGTGTCTTGCTACAGCCCCATGGGTGAAGCTATGCTCACCTGTTCCTGTTTAGGATAGAATCTTCCATGGAAGTGCCTTGTGTGTGTGTCTCCTTCTCTTACTGTGCCCTTGGGTGTGGCCTACCCAGGTGTCAGTCAACCTGCTGACAGTGGACATCATGAAGCTAGACTCAGCCCCCTGAAACCTGACCCCTTGCCTCATTTGAACAGCTTCTCCTCAATAAAATGGGTCAGCGCGTGCTCTCGCTCTCTCTCTTTCTGCGGACCTTTAAGGTCGAGGAGCTGTCACAGAGACCCCAAAGAAAAAGGTATTTGTGTCTCTTGTGTGGTTATTTGCGCAGCCCATTTAGCCCAGTTCAACTGGAGTGACCCCTGAGCCTTTTAGTCACGAGAACAGAAACCCAAGCAGACTCCTTTGATCCCTGTTTAATTTGACTAAAATCCAAAGTCGATTGACCCCGAAGGTATTTCTTGCTATGCCCTTTTGGCACACGCAGTGATCTGTTCATATATGGCCAGATCATGATTCAATTGACTCTCTAGGTCCGTAAATTCCCCAGTTCCAGTTAACATCTCCAAAGGGGCATCAAGCCTTGCCTCTAGTTCTTTCAGCCTGTTCCATGCAATAATCAGCCCAGTGAGTGTGGGGATGTGTCAGAGCTGACCAGGTGCAGGTAAGAGTGCTGGCTTCAGTGACTCTTCTGTCCCTGCTGTTGCCCCTCACTGCCTGGGATTTGCCCCTCGGCATCTTGGGGAGGCTCTCCTGTCATTTCCAGTGTAGGACAGACAGGGGGCTGTTTCCGGGGCACTGTTTTCCTGGCTCCAGCCTCTTAGCATTTCTGCTGACCACATGACCTCCGAAGGCTGAGCCGACCTCTCTGCCTCCAGGCTCCTGGCATGTTCCTTACTCCCACAGCCTGGAAGACTGGTTCGCTTTTTAACACCTCATTTTCTGGTTTTTGTGAGACCAGAGCTAGCTTGGCTCCCTTGTTTCCTGAGAGGTTTATCTCTGATTGCTAAGGGGTCCTGTTTTTTGAGGATTCCCTGACTGTCTCAGGGTGATTTCATTTTTAAATTTTTGGTACCAGGGATTGAACCCAGGGGCACTTAACCACCGAGCCACATCCACAGCTCCTTTTCATATTTTGTATAGAGACAGGGTGTCATTGAGTTGCGTAGGGCCTCGCTAAGTTGCTGCAATCCACCTGCGTCAGCCTCCGAGCTCCTGGGATTACAGGTCTGCGGACCTTGCACATGACTTCCGATTCCTTCAGGAAGACTTTTTCGATACATTGATGTTGTGAATATCTGAGTGCTATAGGTGGGCAGAAGGAGGGGGTTTCTGTGGATTTCTCAAGCCCATATGCTTAAACTCTGGGAAACTTCTTTGTAGTACTTTTGGGTGACTCTCTTCCTCCACAGTACGCCTCAGTTTCCATTCCCTTCATTGGACACAGTGGGCTCACCACCCACCACTCCTTCTGTTCACTCTCTTGCTTCATGGCTCACCTTTCCCACCACACAGATCCTTCTTCCACGGCACTATTCCAATTTCCCTCCCAACCCTTTTCACATTGTTTCCAGTTATCACATTTTGATTCTCTAGAGCAGTTTCACTAGTAAACGATATGACATCTTGCTAGCCAATCCCTAAAAAACAAATGCCAAATGTCTTCTTTGATGTAAGGAGAGCAACTAAGAACAAAGCAGGGAGGAAGAGCATGAGAAGAAGATTAACATTAAATAGGGATGAGAGGTGGGAGGGAAAGGGAGAGAGAAGGGAAATTGCATGGAAATGGAAGGAGACCCTCAGGGTTATACAAAATTACATACAAGAGGAAGTGAGGGGAAAGGGAAAAAAAAACAAGGGGGAGAAATGAATGACAGTAGATGGGGTAGAGAGAGAAGATGGGAGGGGAAGGGAGGGGAGGGGGGATAGTAGAGGATAGGAAAGGCAGCAGAATACAACAGACACTAGTATGGCAATATGTAAAACAGTGGATGTGTAACCGATGTGATTCTGCAATCTGTATACGGGGTAAAAATGGAAAAACAACAACAACAAAAAAAACAATGTGACATCTTAGTAATGGGGGCTTTCTGAACCAGTCTGTAAATAGTCCATTGAGACCAGGCACCCTTCAGACCCAGAGGACCTGGCCCAGTCGCTTATCTGAGGGAGTACCCCTCAGTACCCCTTCTGCCTCCGCGTTTCCCAGGCCCTAACTCAGCAAGACCTTATTATGGCTGGTTAGCTGGGAGATGAGGGGTGGAATGTGTGGAGAGAAAGTAAAACCATTAATTTTGAAATCGTATTGGGATGTTTAGAGCTTGAATATCCTAGTTGCTGAATCATGGTGTTGACCTCTGACTCATGAACACATGGCCTCATGAAGAGGAGGCCATCGTTGAAGGTCTACGTTTATCAAGCTCATGACAACCCCAGGGCTTTGGTTACAGAAGAAAGATCATGATCATCATGGGTTTCATGATGGATAGAATGGGACAGGTATTGGTGGAGAGTGGACTACACAGAGATTGACAGCCTGTGCCAGGAGAAGATTATTCTCATCTCCTGGGCACAAGGTGATAGGGATACGTTGTCTCTGACCCTCAATCTTCACTTGCGTTCAAGGCTACAGGAGAAGGAATTCTTCAAGGTGATGCACAATGATTCCTGACCACATGTCCTTCTTTTGTGACACCAGCTACTCAGCAGTCATTGCGTCTGCAGTTGATTATTACCCAACAAAGAAAAGCAGGTTCCTCAGAAAACACCCCCAACGCAAGACGCAGGAGCACAGGGCAGTAACTAGACAAGCAGAGAAGTGCAGGGCAAGCAGTTTATTACGGCAAGACGTTGAAACCTTTCCATGTGGCAGCAGAGATGCGAGTATCCTGGGAGAGCAGCGGAACCGGGAACAAATGCATCTCCCATCTCAAGAAAAACACTTCGTGGTGATTTCTCCCTGAAGTAGAACAAAAGGGAGGAAGGAGGAAAGATGAACACGACCATGCTGCTCACGGAGAGGACATTCCGAGAAGTCCCTGGGGCGAACCAAGAGGCAAAACCAAGAGGCAAGAGGCAAAACCAAGAGGCAAAACCAAGAGGCAAAAGAGAGAGTGCTTGGGCACAGGTTGTGGAGTCACAGGAAACTAGGCACATTGGGGAGGGACCTTTCCAAAGCCAGGCGGACACTTAGAGGGGACCCAGGAGGGTGGCTCCGTGGCAGACGGAAGGGAAGTGTGGGAAAGACCAGCCAAGCAGTTATTTCTCTGCTACTTCAGGACTGTGGACTCTGCTTTCCCCTCCGATGTGGGCCCAGGGCCGCCCAGGTCCCGGGAAGGACGGGGTGCCAGGCTGCTGTCAGGAGAACAGCCTCCCTGGCAGAGCTGGCCAAGCTGGCAACGATATCCACTCCTCCACCTCTTGGCTTCCGCAGCAGACACCAGCCCTCGCTCCCAGTCCTTCCCACCTGCCTGCTGTACACACCCCAACCACACACCAAAGGGCATTCCATGGGGATTGTGATACCCTGGGGGCGGGGGGAACTCACCCTGGGGAGAGCTCCAGCAGACAGGCTGCTGGGCTTGGCCTTGAAACTTCCCTGCCTGGGGCCCAAATGTCCTCCTTGTTAGGACACCAAGGGATGGTGAAATGCAGGGAGCGCTCAGAGTCAGAGGGAACTGCCCAGGCCGCTGTGTGCAGCTGAGTTTCATGCAGCAGCTGTGCTGTTACTGTCTTCCCTGTGGCTCTGGGTTATCCCATTAAGAGGTGACAGGCTAGCTGGGTGACCCCTGCAGCATTTCCCATAGAGCAGCAGGCTAACCTCTCTTCTGCCTGTGTGGTTGATGAGAATCACTGTGTATCAAAGAGGAAGACATTACCATGATTTTTATAAGTTGTGCTTTAGTTATCCAGGATATCCTGTCTACGCATTCCTTCACTTCCAGTCTTGCCTCAACAGCTTCCGGAGGTGCATTGAATTTGGAAAGCTCTACCTTGTACAATTCTTCAGGAGCAATTATAAATTCTGTGCATTCTTTAAGAAGTTCTGGACACGGCACTGCATTTGCTGGAGCAAGAGAATAAAAATAGAATTAAATTGATGAGAGTTGAGTGTTTGCCCGAGGCCCCCTTGACACTAGACAGCATGGCAGGGTTTAGGTTCCCATCCCATGAGAGTGCCAATGACATGGTCAGGCCCTCAAGCTGGTGACTTCCTCAAGATTACTCAGCAAGGGACAGAGCCAGATTTCCCGATCATTTTTCTGTCTGTTTTTAAAGCACATCAACTACATTCTAAAACTTCTCTGGTTCACTGAAATTCCCGCACTAGATTAGAAGGAAGTGCGTTTTGTCTGGAGGTGAGTAGCACCTCATTAGTCTTGAACATTGGAGAGGAGAGCCTTTGGGTATCCAGCGTGAAGTGAACATTAGAATTAGAATCAGAATCCTAGCAGGCAAGAGATAGGTGAGAGTAAATCTGGAAAAGAACAAGTCAGGTTGTGGAAATGTGGGAGAGGTTGTGTCTGAGATTAAGTTGGAAGACACGGATTATTCCGTTGCATGCAGTTTCAGCTACAAACCTGAAGTTACACTAGATGATGTGCTTTTAACACACATGGGAGCTTACAGAGGAGACGGTGGCTGACTCCTTCCTGCACTGTGTCCAGATCCTTAGAGATGTGACAGAAGGAAACCTGATGTCACTGGGAACTGGACGGAGACCTGGAGGAGCCATGTTTCCATTCTGGATCACTTTTTCCTTCAGATGGGGTCTCCCTGTGTGGCCCAGGCCTCCCTCACTTTCACAATCCTCCTGCTGCAGCGACTGAGCAGCTGGGATCCAGGCCACAGCCACCAGGCTCTGCTCCCCCAAGATTTTGGCATCTACTGTAAACAGGTCCCCAATCAGGCTCTGATCTCACCCCAATAGGAGGACATCACATTATGAGGAGAATTCGGGCAGGGTTCGGTCAGATGCAGCACAGAGAAACAGAAGAGGTTCGGAAAGGGAAAGGGAAAATCAGCGAGATAGAGTTTGTTCTTGAGGGCAAGGCATACATCAGAGTAGTGTTGGCAGAATGGCTAGAATGACCCCTGCAAACACAGAAATCTTAGTGCGAAGGGTTTTTCGGGTTCTATTACCAGTGCGGGTAGGACTCCCAGTTAGTTGATGGGACCATGTAGGGCTGCTTATTCTCAGGGCCCATTTGAAGGTTTCTTTTTCAGTTTCAGAGAACAGTGGCTCTTCTTGGACAGGGAGCCCGCCAATCACCTCTCCAGCTGTCACACTCTATGAATAGTCTAAACGAAGGGACCGGAAGTCGTGGGTTCACTTGGCACCTACACGCCTCAGGAGGAGAGCCTCTGCTAAGCCCAGATGCTGGGTGCATATCTGCAGCTCAGCTGTCGATGTGCTTAATCTAACAGGCTTCTCAAGGTCCTCACTGGTGACTTGAAGCACCAGCGATAAGAAGCAGCTCAGGGAGGTTGAGCACTTGGCCTAGGATTGAAGGTCAGGGGCAGAGACCACATTCATTACACCATGTTGCTTCTGGAACACTCGCCTGAGTCCAGCGGTGAGAGTACACGCAGCACAATTCCTGAAACCCGCCTTCAGTGATTTCCTTGTTAACAACTGAAGTGTTAGGAAATTGATCCAAGTAGCGCTGCCATCTCAGGGGTTAGTTCACAATTGGGGGTCTAGTTCAAGGCTCACGAGGAGGTTTCAAATTCTGCTCTCTTCCTTAACACAAACTCACCCCAAATGTATTTATTAGTGTTCAGAGAAAGGAACTTACCAGAGGCTGGTTCTAGGCTGATCACAAGTGATACTCACCCTCAAAGAAGCCAAGGGTCAGAGTGACCAGCAGGAGGGACACAGACAGCCTCATGGTGCCTTACTTGCTTTGAGCTTTAACAAGGATGAGGGATCTGAATTCCACCTCAGGAGGCTGGAGGGCCAGTGAGCCCAGGGCTATTTGTACCTGGTGAGCGTAACTGGCCCTGCCCACGGAGGCCCTTGGCAGATCGTGATGTCTGGCTTGTGGCCCTCCTTCCTGTGGAAACCCATCCCCCCGTGTCAATCCCCAAGCCTCCTCCCTGCATCCTGAGTGGAGCCCGTCCCAGGGGGACAGCCCCGAGGCAGCTCTGCCTGTCCTGCAGGGGACCTTCCAGTTCCACTAGAAATGATTCCTGCAGTTTCAGTTCACTTCTGAGCTTTGGGTTTTCATGGAGGTGTCTCATTTCCAGGCACAGTGGGTTCTGACAAAAGGAGAACAATTCTGGAGGCCACACGTAGGTGAGGGTTGCCCTGGGGCTATGGGAGAGCAGATGATAAAACCACCTGCTTCGAACCCGCCCCCCCCCCCAACAGGTGGGTTTTATTTGCATCTTGGATCAACAAAAACAAACCTATCCTCTTTCTTGGATCCCATTCTCTCACCACCTTCACACATACACACACACTCAGACACACACACACACACACACACGCCTTAAAGTGTCTGAAGAGAATTTTCAAAGAGGCACAAAATGTCATATAAAAGGGAACCTCCATAAGACAATGAGTGGATTTGTCGGCAGAAGGGGTTGGAGGTCATATTCCACGTGCTGAAAGAACAAGGAAAACTGGGCACTAAGAATTGTCCATGTAGCAAAACTGATGATCCGGCATAAAGGAGAGTCGGTCAATTCCCAGAGAAAGAGAAGCTGCGATCGTCCATCCGCTCATGAACACCACTCTGCCTGCCTTGCAAGAAGGGCTAAAGGAGTGCGTTCATATAAATCAAACGGATACCAAAGGGTAACGTGATTGATGAGAAAGAAGAGAGTTTGCCGTGATGAGTCCATAGGCAAATACAGAAGACAGTAGTCCTGGAACAGGGGCTAGAAAATCTCTTTTCCTTCATATGGAAAAGTTAAAGAATTAAAAATGAATTTGACTATGTATATGCTACAAGGCAACACGAATAAGCCTCAGTGGTGGCAAGGATAGCAGGAAGTGGAGGGTTTGCATGCAATCTCACTTATTTTTATTGTCTTAGAATGAACTTTACGTTTTACACAAGCCCCATGGTAACTGCCAACACATCAAGAACCCTAAGGGTGTTCCCCAAAAGAAAGAACAGAATCAATGCATATCAATACAGAAAGTCATCAAAACACATGGAAAAAGGCGAGGAAAGAAAAGATGAGAAAAATTACAAGACTAATAGAAAACGGCAAACACGGTGTCACTGGGTCATCCTTCCCTAGGAAAAGGGCATGATATTGAAGCGGATTAAACAAGCAGATCTGAAGACATAGGATGGCTGCGTGGATTTTTGAGGACCCAATTGTATAATTACAATACACCAGTCTACAAGTTGCTTTATTCCTGATTGCCCCAAAGTGAATGCAGCCAGCATCGTTTGTACACGGTGAATGGAGCAATCCTCCGTGGCACAGGTAGGCAAGGTGAGTTTATCCAGTGCTAAAAGATGTGAGTTATTCAAAGGTACAGATCACTCTTAAAAAGCATGTTACTAATTGAAAGACACCAAGTGAAAGAGGCTCTTGATCTCTAATATGACATTCTTGAAAAAGGCCATTTTTTCAAAGTGTTCACCACATTCAACGTAGGTCCTGTCGGAGTTCTAGCAGGGCTGGGTGTGCTTCCCTTTGACTTCTGACTTGCCCTTGAGTCTTCCCATGGGAGAACACATTCACTGTGGGATGAGTGGAGAAGTGCCCAGCTCTGCAGCCAGACCACGGGGGTTAGAACTCAGTGAGTGGCGTTTTCTACTGGTGGGTCTTCAGCTTGTCACTTAGCCTCACAAGCTCAGTTTTCTCTTCTTTGAAATAAGGCTGATGATAATAACGCCCACCTCCTAGGATCCGTGTAAGTCATAATGAGTTAATAGAGGAAAACACTGAGCCCAGTGTCTGGCAGAAAATGTCAGTTACACTTAGGTAACAAAGGAAGCAGTAGAAAGAAGGCAAACAAAATAAAAGATTTCCAACTAAATCTCATTTGTCAACAAGGAATATTTGTTAATCCTAAAGGTTAAAAGAGCAGGTTTCTGAACTTGGCTGTGGTTCCAATGGCAATAAGATAAAATAATTTCTTTTCGATGCCTTGATTTATCATTTTATGGTCAAAGAGAAGGGACCTTTAGTATGGTTTTCATAATGGGTATGGAAACTTAGGAGCAAGTGGGTGGTGGGTTCCATAGGCATTGTTGATCCCCGAGGCACACAGAGTCTCTGCATTTCTGTCCTTAGCAGGATGTGTGGCTCACACATATCACTCTGACAGAATACAACAAGGACTCTGTGGCATTGCCTTCCAACCTGCAACCTTGTCCCTCTGGATGAGAACCTTTGAAGGATCCATCCAACTTCTGAATGTCCACACAGACTCTTACCATAAACATATCTTGGGGTTGCCCTGATCTTCATATCTACCTCTTCTTTCATATCATTTTTATTTTAGTTGATCAAAGACAAGAAGCATGCCCATGCTCAGTGTGCATGGTAACGCAGCAGATTGACTTTGAACATGCGAATCTCTAGACTTCTTTCAATGTAAGCATTATTTTGTGGTACACAAAAATTTTCTCCAACAATTATTTTTTCCATCACTGCTTTTCATAGAATCTAAGGAATACATAATTGAGCAACAAACGAGAAATCATTGAGAAGACTTTCCAGTGGCCCCTAGCAATGTCATTTGTAGTATTTAGCTGAGAGAAATTCAAAGAAGTGATTGACGTCACTACAACAAAACCCATGCTCTCCAGGTGGGAGCAGTGGCATGCACCTGTAATCCCAGATGGGGGGGATTGTTTGAGTTAAGGAGTTTGAGGCCAGCCGAGGCAACTTAGCAAGACTTTGCCTCAAATTAAACAAAAAACCCCTCGTGGGGTCCATTCATGTGTTAAGTATTTCAAAGTTAACATCCATAAGATGGGTCATGTCTGCAGCCCAGCTGTGCAGGGCAGTGGGGTAGATTCTGAGAGGCCAAAGAGAGCGCCTCTCTTTGATGAAGAGTGAAACCTGTGATACACTGGGAAGTCCACAGGAGATCATGGCGGTAATCCAAGAAGAGTCCAAGGGCCACTGCTGGACAAATAGCCCCTCCACCCCTCTAGGTGCTTTGCCAAGGAGTGACTCCTCTTCCTCACAGTGTTTTTTCCTGTGTTGCCTAGCAGGACGAATGACAGGTGTCCTCTGCACAGTCGCTCCTGACATATGGGTTTCATGTATCAAGCTGCAAGCACTGTAGCATCAGTTTACCTTGCTTAGTTTGCTTGTATCACCAGAATCTCAAAGAGCAACTGTCCCTTGTACATGCAAAAAGCGGCTTTCTAAGAGAACATCTTTCTGCCCTTGTCCCCAGTGTGTAGAAGAGAAAGCCAGTGTCCTTCAGACTAGGTGGATCTTGACATTCTGGCCCAGGCTTGTTCTCATTCTTGGCTGGGGTTTGGGATATGAAAAGGGAATTCAGGTACATGGTGTCTTACTGTCCCCCTTTTCTCTAAAGGTAATAGATGATGAAAAAAATTAAATTAGTTCAGCAATAAACAATGTAATCCATGGATCTATAAGAATTTAAAAGGTCACATTTGGCTCATGAAGGGATTCATTTGTAACTGCCTTGTGTATATATTCATCATGATCCAAATGTGAATCCCATAGTTTGGGTCTCTATTGAAATCTGTACGCGTCGTCACTGCTACTCACATCAAACAAGTATCTTAACTTGCCAACTTCAGGATATGTTGTAGTGATTCTTTCATGTTCTCTGCTGAACCTGTGAGAATCTTGCCAAGTTTTCCAAGGCAGTAAATGAGCCAATGTGGTCACTCACGTCCACACGACCACCTGCCACACCCGAGCAGACAGAATGCACATTCAGAGTTCTTGCTGGAAGCTCTGATTTGCAGAGTGAGTCCTTACTATGGGAAGGTCTTTAAACCTGAGAGTTTCCTTCACCTCACACACCAAATCTTACCATGAACGCATGATACTGTAGTATTTCAATACCTTTGGTATGTCATACTCCAAGAAAAAGAAGGAATGAAATATCAGAAATGCTTGGTTTGCTCTTGAATTATCCAAGACAACAGCTTCTTATTGTGTGCCCTGCCCTATTTGTGCTGTTCCTAATGCCAGTCCCACTAAAATGTGGGGAAAACCTAGGTTTTGGTGACCCCCATCCACCTGCTAATTAATGTCCTATGACAACTGCTGTCACTCTCATGTCCCAGCTATTACATGCATACACTCTCCAGAGGGCCTGCTCCTCCTCTATTGGTAAGACTCAATCTTTTTTTTTAAACTTATTCTAATTTGTTATATATGACAGCAGAATGCGATTTAATTCATGCTGAGCACATATTTTCATGTCTCTGGGTTTGGAAATAATTTGGAACTCTTAGGAACATTGTGATGATCTGCAGAGTAGAAGAGCCACCTGTCCACTGTTATACTTATTGTTGACATCGAACACCGCTTGCTTTAGTAATAAAAACTCCTTGGTTCGGTTCCTCTCATCAAAGAGTAGGATGAAGATCTCAATTCATGAAACCAATTTTCCAGTCAGTACCCAGCTTTGAAAGTGAAATCCAACCATATATTCTATGCCAGTCCCAGAGTGTAATGTGTTAACGCTGGTGAAGAAACATGGAAGAAGAAATTACAAGGACACTTCTGAAATGCCCCAAAGCCCCCCCAATATCAGGACAACGTGCAGGCTGTATTCACACCAGTGCAGGATTCTGAAATGAAACCATCATTGACTCATGAGACATCCGGGTAGTGTTCCAGCGGCTTTGAGTTATTATGCAGCATGCAGAAAATCCTTGACGCTAAGGACTCTCCTTCCATCCTTAGTGCTAATCAGCGGGAG